AACAACAACAAAAACCAAAGTAAATTGGACAGTATAAATGCTGGAAATTTTGATGCAGGTCTCTCTCAGAAAAGAATTATTAAAAACCATTTTTTTTTTACAGTTTTAACTTTTTCATGTGATTACTTTCACAGAGCATATTTATGTCTAAGAAAACTAATTTAAATAAACTAAGTAGAGTGAATGATTTTGAAAGAAAAGAGAAACTTAAAAAAGCCAATTGTTTTCACTAGAGATTCATTTATAAAAGCACACAATTATTGGAAGTACTCTTTGTCCCAGCGAATTAACTCATTGTGAGAATCTTTCTTGAGAGCTTTTAATGATTGAATGAATAAATGTTTAAAATAGTGGTGACATACTTTCCCTTAAAAATTTATTTATAAAAGTTTCAATACTTGTGTGAACTGAAGCTATGAGACTAGAGAAAGCCAACTAGGATAGAGATACACCGTCCCCACGCCTGCCATCTGGTGCCTAACACAAAAGTTCTAGTCTATTTCCTTTTAGGTATGAAACATCTGTGAATTCAAAGCCATCAATCAGACTGGGTAAGATTGAGTTCAGCTTGCTGGCCCTTGGTTTCCTGGGGGACTGGATTGGATGAGCTTGTAGGTCCCATGCAACACACACCCTGTATAATTCCCTCCTTGAGTGTAGGGGTGTGGCTTGTGAATGTGATGGGATATCACCCCCATGATTAGGTTATATGGTGGAAGGGATTTTGCAGATGTAATGAAGGTTGTGAATCAACTACCTTTGAGTTAATCCCAAGGGAGATTGTCCTTGGTGGGCCTGGCCTAATCAGGTGAACCCTTTAAGGGAACTTGGCCCTTGCTGAATGAAGAATTTGAAGTGGGAACATGTGGAGAGTACTAACATTAATAAAACAAATGTATCTCACAGGACCTAACTTTTTAAAATTACACATAGAAATGTTAAGCTTGCAAAAGACAGGAAACTTTCCCCAAGCTAAAGTATCTGTTTTAGGTAAAGAATTGTAACACAGCAAAATTGCTGGCTCAAAGGGCAGATGTCCTTGGTAAAGGTTAACCTACTGATTGATATGTTAAGAAAGTTGCTTGATTGTTGTGTAAATATACTGAGGAAATTGCTGTAGGAAAAGAAAGTGTTGCTAAGAACAAGCTTTTGTTGGTGGATCAACTTAACCTTTTGCAAATTGCATTATGGAATGTCACTTTATCTCATTGATGTTACTAGTTTCCATTGTTAAAACTATACTTCGCCCTAACTCTGCCCATGTCCTTGTGTCTTTGTAATGATTAAATCAACTGAATTTTCTTGTGAAACTTTCTTTACAATAAAAGGGAGAAGCTAACTTTGAATTGGGGCTGTCACATTCAGCTTTCTCCTCCTAATGGGGAAATTACTGAAGTGCAGTCATTTCGGGCTTCTCCATGCATTCATAGTGCTTTGAGTAATCGAGTAATTCTTTTTTACATCTCCGTTACACAGGGGGGAGTGTAAAAGGAACAGCCATTCTGTGGACTGCCTATGGAGGGGGCTACAGAGCGAAGACATGGGAATGGCCTCTAGGAGCAGAGAGCAGTCCCCCTTGTCAGCAACAAATTGACAACCTCTGTCCTACAGCCACAAGGAAATGAATTCTGCCAACCACTTGAAGGCACTTGAAAGGGGATCTTTATCCAGTTGAGCCTCAGGGAGGATGCAGTAAGCTGATGTCTTGATTTCAGACTTGTGAGACCCTGAGCAGAGAACCCAGCCACACTGTACTGGACTCAACCCACAGAAACTGTGAGATAATAAATTTGTGTTGGTTTAAGCCACCAAGTTTGCAGAAATTTATGTGGCAATAGAAGACTAATATAAATGGTGATCTCATTAAACACATCACTTCTTCAGGTCTCTAGACCATGGCTCCTGAGATTGGTGGAAACACACCGTAATAGATGTCCTTCTACAGAGTGATGAATAAACTTCTTTGAAGGTTGATGCTGCACACCAAAATGCTCCATCAAAGTAAACATTACATTAACCCATACACTGAAAACCTTTTCAAAGTAACCAAGAAACTTATTTTTCCAGCCAGCAGTCTTGAGTGGCTATCCGATTTTGTCACCTCTGCTCTCAAGTATTTTATTTTCATTCTCTTTTCTTCTCATGCTGTTTGGTGAAGGTAAAGCTCTCAGATTTACCCATTCAACATTTTAATCTCTTACTCAGACACGGGAGCTCTGGGCGGTTATAACAGACATTAGACTTGGTAGACTAATTCAACACTTGGCTCTGAACCTGTCGAGTCATGGGACCTTGGAAAAGAGAATTACTTCTTGGATCTTTGGTTTCCTTATCTATTAAAAACAAATAAGATCTTATCACATACTCCCAGACTGCTCAGGACAAGGGAACATGGAAAAACTGCTAGTTTCAAGGAGCATTCAAATTCTCCCTCTAGAAAGACTTGAAAATGTGCATATCTGTGATCCCTACAGGTCAGGGAGATACTCCTCTATATTCTTGCCAGTTAAACTAGTTGTCTTCAAATATTTAACACTGTTCATGGCAGAGGATATGAGTGGGATAGGGAAGGTATGAGCCTCTATGGACACTACAGGGAGGTAATTTTTATTCAATATAAGGACAAAAGAAGATGTGGATGTGAAAGATCTGGTGTGATAATTTCATTGAGGCACCAAGAAGGCAAGGGTAGAAATAAATGGCAGGGAAGTTCCGGAAACTCATTTAGCTTTGAATGAGGTGAGATATTCAGGAAGATCGACTCAAGTGTGAAAAGATCTAGGAAGCTGGGATGGAAGATGGTGGAGGTGGTATATCAGCAAAGCAAGGCCAGCCTCCACGCATGCTTTCAATGCATTATTTCCTCTCCTTCTCACACCCACCCTGTGAAGTAGTACTATGATTATCATTTAGGGAGAGAAAACAGGCTGAAAGAGGTTAGTTAACTTTCCCAAGTCACACAGGTAGTAAGTGGCAGAGAGAGGACTTGCACCCAGGCAGTCCTAGAGCGCTCACTCCCAACTACCATTGTCTCAGTTGAAATAGGATGTTTTCCAGTCTGTCCCTTTGATCCAGGGAGAGAGGGAGAGCCCTATGTTTCTGGTGGCCCATGTTGTTCTATATTAGGAAACCTCAGGGTGGTGGTGAATTTAGGAGAGAAACAGCTGAAGATTGTTGTAAAGTAACCAATCCTTCCCTAGCTGAAGATTTTCCCCATGGGAGATCTTGTTTCCTAGAAAAGTGTATTCTCTAGGAAAGGACACTGCTTCTTCACAGCCCTGGGTTGGTATGGTGTTCCTTGGTAGGTGTTCTGTCTCTGTAGCTCTATCTTGATTATTTCGATTTTACCAGGTGGCTTGGACTCTTTACCCCCATGATTTTGTATCTCCACCTCTTTTTCAGTGTAGAAGAGGGGCCTGTCCTATTCATTCTACTCTATGGAGAAGTAGCCACCATTTGGGAGGTCATGTCTTCCAGTGGCAAGGGGACCTGAGGTCAATAACCCTGAGGGCCTCTTCCATCACCATCCTAGGCTGCCCTGCCGCCCTTCCCCAACATAGCTGTCCGTGTGCCCAATTTCCAGAATGGACAGTGCGGTGCTGCTGTCTTCCGTGAACCCTGTAGCCGGGCAGGATTTCTTGTTAGGCTGCTTTCTGCTTGCTCCTGTTGGGCAGGAAGTTGTGTAGATACTAGGATTGCAGGGACATTCGGGCACTTTTGACTTACTGCAACTCTAGCGGATGGGTTCAATAATGAGCTCCAAGCCATGGCAGTGTTTCCAATGCTAAGACCGGGGAAAACAATGAACTGCACTGAAGAGCAGCCAGACCTAACATAGGGACGAGATGAAACAGGACGCACTAAAGGACAGGCTCACCTGACATCAAATTGCATCCTTGGAAGCTTGCGGCACTGTCCTTATAAAAATGCAAAGCAGATCCAAAAGGAATTACTACGATCTTTAAAAGGTCAGAGTGAGTCTGAACATTGATTTTTCTTTAAGATGATTTATCAATTAGAGACCAGAGGATTTTTCCTGATGATATTTATTTCATAAATGTAATTATTTTTCTAAAACATATTAAAATAGAAAACATGTTCTTTTAATCAATTTATACAAAGAAAATACCAATATAGTAATAAAAATACTGAAAATATATGAAAAGCACCAGAACATTAGAGAAATTACACTGGCAACAATTCTAGGAATATATTTTTTTTGTAATTGTACAATAAAGTGCTATTAAATCCAGTCAAAATTAGTGGCAAGATATAAAAACAGTTATGATACTATGAAATTTGAGGCCAGGTTTACCAGCAATTGCATTTTAGGCTACTTGCAGATCAAGCTAATGATATTTCATTAATGTTTTCATGGAAAATCTATGAATTTCAATTTCCAAGTAAAAAAAATCTAAATCTAAATGTTGGTCCTCGGTAATATGGTCAATAAACAGGTAATGACATGATTAAAAATAAAATTATTGATCAGATCACCAAAACTAATCATGCAAATGTGATTAAATAAAACCAAAGACAGAATAAAATCAAATGTAAATATATATGATCAATCAAGACAAGTACCAAAGTTTAGATGCCTCTGATTTTATAATTAATTTTCAGTAATTCTGCTTAGTCACATTTAATACACACACAAACATAAACAAGATATGTAATTAAATTTAACCGAGCAAGTATATTTTAGTGAGTCAACATAATTTTCATATGAAAACATTAAAGGGACACTGTTAGGACAATACATTTCTAATCTTGGCTAATTATTTCCTTATTTATTTGCTGAGGAACAAAAAACATACACAAATACTTTGGGATTAGATTATATTAAGGCCAAAAATCTACCATTGAAAGGGAGAGCTACTGTGTGCACACACACAGGGACATATTATGGATAGTACTTGGGGTGGACTGCAGTCCGTTTCACATCTGGAGGTGGCAAACTGAAACAGAAAAGTCTAAATTAAGACAAAGTATCACATCAGTGTCCTTTTAAGGTTTTATTCCTAGGCCAATTTTGAAGGAACTCATATCATTCTTCATGACTCAATTTTGGAATCAACTTCTTCAAGATGAAAGTCAACAACACTCTACCTCAGAATAATAATAAATCTCCAAACGTGGCTCAATAGAAGCTCACAATTTATTTTACAGGCAGACTATTTTTTCTTTTATATGAAGTAGATGGACATGTGAACCAACATGGACTGAAACTGGTCATAAAACTGAGAAAACAAACTAATTTCATTAGCCTCTGCTCCTGCAAGGTGTATCTTTTTAGAATTTAGGAACCATACCAGGTGGGTATTACCATACAAAATGCAGAATATCAAGTAGTGTAAGTCAATTAGCCCTGGTTTGAAGGTCTTACAGTCCATCACAAGTTATATTTTTCATTCTTTAAATGGAGAGCTGACACTTAGGCTTCTATTTTTTTTTTTTTTTTTGGTTTGGTTTTTTTCTTTTCACCCCTATAGATATATATCCTCGTCTTTTATAAATTTCCTTCTTATGGCTAATTTTAACCGGGAACATTTTGAAACATAAACTAATTATAGTGCTTAGCATCTCAAAAACTAACTTTTCAAATAATTCTAATTCCTTTCATTTAGAAATGAGGGTGAAGATGGTATAATTCATGCTCCTCTGCTCTGGAATGAGGGTGAAGATGGAATGATGGAGGATCAGGCCCTTGTAATAAATTAGGCAAAAGGTTCAGTGTCCAGCCATAGTGGACAATATGAGAGTGCATAAAAATTACTGGAAAGGGGGATTCCTTGAAGAGACTTTCCTTCTGGGCATTTCTAACAGAATGTGAAGAAAATCCAACCACACTTAGTTTTCCAAAGTCTACCGAAATGAGCGTTCACAAAAAAGCCTGAGATTAATAAAAGGCAGGCCATTAAGGAACACTGAGAAACAAAGGGTAGGTGGTTTGGCATTAAATAGGTTCATATTCCAAAAGAATATTGACTATCATCTGGAAGTAATTCTCAAAATTACAAAGTCATGATTACATAAATTAATTTGTATGTTTTTTATTTTAAATATACATATTGGTCTATATACATAGTATAGAAAAGCTAATAAGTACGCTCAGCTATAATAATTCTGTCATAAAAAAGCAGATTACATTTTTGGCTGCAACAAAGCATGTTACTTATACTTTTCAGTTCAGCTAATGTATTTACATGATAAAACTTAAGCTTTAAAAGTATTCAAATGAAAAGGAAAAAATAAGTTACATTTAAACTACTAATTTACACAATGGATATGCCTTTACTTACTTTCCTAACTAGCTATAGTCTCTAATAATCAATTTCACCAGCATTTCATTATTCTAAGTTTGTTTTCAAGACATATATGGGTTCCCCTCTATATGCTGCACATTTCCTTTCAGGAATCACAGATGTGCAATAGTTTTAGTAGCTTGGTGGAGAAGTTTTGGGTGTGTTACCCAAAGGATGAAGGAGCTGGGTTTCCTACTGGGCACCACTTCTTTAACTGTACAACAAATAGAAGAAAGACATGACAAGAACAAGCAAGAGCACTGTTAAAGAAAGCAGCAGCTGCTGGAACCAGATACAATGCTGAACTTGGTCTTCAAGCTTTCTACTGCTTTCTAGTAAACGATTGAGCTGAAGAGGAAAAAAGGGATGAAAGATTTATATCAATAAAACAGCCATTAATCATGTGATTAACAAACAGGAATATTAGAAATCCAAACACTGAAGGGATGGGGCCCATCTACTCTGAAAGGCTGGGAGACAGAAATGCAAGAAGGCATTAGATTTGTTTGGTGGAAAGATGTGTCTCCGCTTACCCTCATTTTTGAAGGTCTAATTTTCTAGTTGAGACAGGAGCACAGCAATCACTTCCTGAGGTACAGAAACCCTTGAGCTACCAATGGCTAGTCACAAACAGACCCAAGCCTCTCTGTCTCTTTCAAATTTAAATGCACTATTTGGTACTTCCCCCCATCCACTTCCAGCAAGATTGAATTCTTTGATACTCCCCCAAACACCTTGTGCTCTGCTATTTGGTCATAATTCCAAATTAAAATGGCCAGAGCTTTTAAAAGGTTAGTAGATCTCCAAAAGTAACTCACTGCTTAGAAGAGAGCACTTCTGTCATATCTATGCCAAAGGTTTTTCCTTATGCAAGTGGGAAAAAATGGACTTCTAATGTTGATTAGCATTAACAACTTTGTTTTAATTAAGAAGGAAGTACACTTACCTGTAGGTATATATCTTCACCGGTTTTATCTGACATGTTAAAAGCATTTTCTTTTAAGGTAAGAATGTTTGGTTTACTGTTCTCAAAAGTATGGCATCTTAACCTATGAAAATCCAAAGGAAACATAACTTCTTAGAATTTTAATGAATTTTCTTATAAAAATAAAATACAAAATGAAAACAATTAAACATAGAAGTCTATGTAACATAAGTGAAAGTCTTCATTCCTCTTCCCAGGTTCCCTTAAGGTAGCAGATCAGTGTTTATCTTGCAGGTTCTTAATGCACATACAAAGAACAAGAGATCACAGATACTTACAATATCTTATATCTTACAATATATCCAAATATCTTAAAATTTGAAGGAAACCACCTTTTCTAGATATGAGACGGTATTTTACTTGGGCCTTCAGTACCAAACCACCAAGCCTCCCTCCCACTTTCTAGGGAGTGATCCCCTCTCTACAGTTGTAGAAAAGCAAGCCATTAGGAATTGGAACAACAACAAAAAAGAAAACAAAGCAACTGGAACATAACAAAACCCCCCAAAAACACTTATTTTGAGGGATTGTTTCATAAGAACTTCAAATTAATCTCCTACACCTTTTGTATGAGTGTTTCTTAACCTTTCAAAATATTTCCATAGCCATGACTTTGACCAAAAAACCCACAAAAACTCTTGATAAAAACAAAAGTAGGCCCTCCTGTAATATAATTTGAAAATTTAAATATGTAAATACTCCATGTACAAACAAGCAGCTAGCTAACCTAACCTCCATCTGCATTCCTTCCCCCGTCCCTCCAGATCAAGAAGCTAAGGCTATCCCTGAACCTCTTCCCTTTCAGTTGTGTCAGAAATTTCACTGTCAGCCCAATAGGAGAAGCCCAAGATCTGCAGAGACCATGCGCCCTGTGGTGTCAGCACACGATCCAGCAGGTAGGCCTCGCCGCTGCTGCCCGAATCCATCCCCAGCCCCACAGAGTGCGCGCTGATCAGAGAGGCATCCAGCCAGAGAGGCTGAAGATCCTCGGAGACTATGCGCCCTGCAGTGCCAGCGCGCAACCCAGCAGGTAGGCCTCTCCACAGCTGCCCGACTCCATCCCCTGCCCTGCTGAGTGCACGCCAATCAGAGAGGTCCACAGCGGAAGAAGCTCAAGATCTATGGAGACCACAGGCCCTGTGGTGCCAGCGCATGACCCAGTAGGTAGGCCTTGCCACCACTGCCCAACTCCATCCCCAACCCAGCTGAGTGCATGCTGACCAGAGAGGCGCCCCCCCGAGAGGCCCAAGATCCGAGGCGACCACGCACCCGAGGCACTAGTGGGCAACCGAGCAGACACTGAGGCAGCCGTACCAAATTGGCAGGCCCAGCAGCATCCTAGCTAGACAATAGTGTCAAACCAGTGGACCGTGAAATCCTCTGCCACAATGACTAAACATCAAAGGAAAGATACTAGAAATGTGAAAAATCAATAAAGTACACCACCAAAGGGTAATAAATCTCAAGATCTAGATCTTATAGAACAAGAAGCCCTTGAAATGTCTGACAAGGAATTTCGAGTAAAAATATAAGGAAACTAAATGAGATACAAGAAAACTCAGCTAGACAAAACGATGAAATGAGGAAAAGTATACAGGACCTGAAAGAAGAAGTGTACAAGGAAATCAATTCCCTGAAAAAGAATGTAGCAGAGCTTGCTGAGCTGAAGAATTCATTCATCCAAATAAAAAACACAAAAGACAGTTTAACCAGTAGGTGTGCAGAAGCAGAATAGAGAACTTCTAACCTTGAAGATGGGCTGTTTGAAATAACACAGGCAGACAAAAAAAAAAAAAAAAAAACAAAGAATTAAAAACATTGAAGAAAATTTACGAGAGATATCAGACAACCTTAGGTGCTCAAATATCCGAGTCATGGGTATTCCAGAAGGGGAGGAAAAAAGAGATGGCACTGAAAACATATTCAACAAAATAGTGGCAGAAAACTTCCGAAGTATAGGAAAAGACACAAATCTTCAGATTCAGGAAGCTCAAAGATCCCCAAATGTATTCAAAACAAAAAGGTCTTCTCCAAGACATGTTATAGTCAAATTGGCAAAACTCAAAGACAAAGAGAGAATCTTAAAAGCTGCAAGAGAGAAGCATCAAATCACATACAAGGGAGCACCAATCAGACTAACATCAGACTTTTCATCACAAACTCTAAAAGCCAGAAAGGAATGGGATGATATATTCAAAATACTAACAGACAAAGATTGCCAGCCAAGACTACTCTACACTGCAAGGCTATCCTTCCAAAATGAAGGGCAAATAGTATATTTCTCAGACAAACAAAAACTGCAGGAGTTCACTACTACACAACAAACCTTACAGGAAATTCTCAAGGGAGTACTGGGTTTGGTACCTGAAAAATAACTACCACTGCCATAAAAACTCAAGAAAAATCAACACCCACTAGTAAAATTAAAATGCTGACAATGATGAGAAAATAAAGTTTATCTACAACCCAGGAAACCAACAAATACAGAAGACAAACAGTAAATCAGAAACAAAGGAACAAAAGACACTTAAGACATCCAAACAAAAATCAATAAAATGCTCGGGCTAAATAAACACTTTTCAATAACAACTCTTAATGTGAAAGAATTAAATTCCCCAATCAAAAGACACAGACTGGGTGACTGGATTAAAAAGGAGGACCCAACTATATGCTGCCTTCAAGAGACCCACCACACCTATAAAGACTCACGTAGTCTAAGAGTGAAAGGATGGAAAAAGATTTACCATGCAAACAGAAATGAAAAATGAGCTTAAGTAGCTAATCTTATATCTGATAAAATAGACTTTAAACTAAAAACTATCAAAAGAAACAATGAGGGCCATTACATAATGATAAAAGGATTGATCCATCAAGAAGACATAACAATCATAAATATATATGCACCCAATGTTGGAGCAGCCAGATTTGTAAAGCAAACACTATTAGACCTAAAGAAGGAAATAGACACTAATACCGTAATAGCAGGGAACCTGAACACCCCACTGTCAATATTGGACAGATCATCTAGGCAAAGAATCAGCAGAGAAACACAAGATCTAAACAACACTCTAGACCAATTGGGCTTGGCAGATATCTACAGAACATTTCATCCAACAACCTCAGAATATTCATTCTTCTCATCAGTACATGGATCATTCTCCAGGATAGATTGGTCACAAATCTAGTCTCAACAACCGCCCCCAAAATTGGAATTATCCCATGTATTTTTTCAGACCACAACACATTAAAATTAGAAATCAATAACAAACGAAATTCTGGAAACTATACAAACACATGGAAATTAAACAGCATTCTACTTAATGACATATGGTTCCAAGAAGAAATCAAGCAGGAAATCAAAAAATTTATTGAAACTAATGAAAATAATGATACAACATACCAAAACCTGTGGAATACTGCAAAAGCAATACTAAGGGGGAAATTTATCACATTAAATGCTTACTTCAGAAGAATGGAAAGATGGCAAGTGAAAAACCTTACACTTCACCTTAAAGAAGAAGAAAAACAAGAACAGTACAAACCCAAAGTTAGGAGATGGAAAGAAATCATTAAGATCAGAGCAGAGAGCCGGCCCCGTGGCTCACTCTGGAGAGTGCAGCACTTGTAAGCGCAGTGGTGCTCCCGCTGTGGGTTCGGATCATATATAGGGATGGCCAGTGCGCTCACTGGCTGAGCGTGGTGCGGGTGACAGCAAGCCAAGGGTTGCGATCCCCTTACTGGTCACAAAAAAAAAAAAGATCAGAGGAGAACTTAATGAAATTGAAATCTAAAAACCAATATAAAAGATCAATGAATCAAAAAGTTGGTTTTTTGAAAAGATAAATAAAATTGACAAACCATTAGCATGGCTAACAAAAAAAAGAAGAGACAAGATTCAAATAACAAAAATTAGAAATGAAAAAGGCGATATTAAAACTGATTCATCTGAAATACAAGGAATCATTCGAGACTACTATAAACAACTATATGCCAAAAAATTTGAAAATCTGGAGGAAATGGATAAATTTCTGGACACACACAAGCTCCCAAAACTGAGCCAAGAAGACGTAGAAAATCTGAATAGGCCAATAACAATAAAGGAGATTGAAGCCATTATCAGAAGGCTCCCAACAAAGAAAAGCCCAGGACCAGATGGATTCACAGCAGAATTTTACCAAACATTCAAAGAGGAATTGACACCAATTCTTTATAAACTATTCCAAAAGATTGAAACAGAGGCAAATCTCCCAAACTCATTCTATGAAACAGACATCATCCTGATACCAAAACCAGGTAAAGATACAACTAAAAAAGAAAACTATAGGTCAATATCCTTGAGATAATGGATGCAAAAATCCTCAATAAAATAATAGCTCACAGAATACAGCAACGCATATGCAAAATTATACACCATGATCAAGTGGGATTCATCCCAGGGATGCAAGGTTGGTTCAACATACACAAATCTATAAATGTGATACACAATACCAATAAAATCAAACACAAGGACCACATGATCATCTCTATAGATGCTGAAAAAGCATCTGATAAAATTCAACATTCATTCATGATACTCTCTATAAGTTAGGTATAGATGGAAAGTATGTCAACATAATTAAAGCCATATATAATAAACCCACTGCCAATATCATCCTGAATGGGAAAAAGCTGCAAGTTTTTCTTTTAAGAACAGGAACTAGACAAGGATGCCCACTCTCACCAGTCTTATTCAACCTTACGTTGGAAGTACTAACCAGAACAATCAGAGAAGAGAAGGAAATAAAAGGCATACAGATTGGAAAAGATGAAGTCAAACTGTCCCTGTTTGCAGATGACATGATCCTATATATCGAACAGCATAAAGCCTCTACAAAAAACTCTTGGAGTTGATAAATGATTTCAGCAAAGTAACAGGATACAAAGTCAACACACAAAAGTCAGTAGCATTTCTATTCTCCAATAGTGAACATGCAGAAAGAGAAATCAAGAAAGTTTGCCCATTTACAATAGCCACCAAAAAAGTAAAATACTTAGGAATTGAGTTAACCAAGGATGTGAAAAATC